GGCACGGGGTTCGAACAAGCCGGCATTTAAAAATGGCGCCGGCCGGCTTATGCAAATGAAGCCCGGGAAATTCAAATCCCGGGCTTCATTTGCAAGTGCGGTATGCCTACATTACCCCGCTAGTTCGAACTAGCGGGGTAGTGTAGACATACCCAGACAGACACAGACAGACAAAAATGTTAGCTGCTCCACAAAATTGATTTCCGTAGCTCCCCTTACCCCGATGGCCGGCCATCACTCCAAATCCTAAGCCCTCACCAGGAGATTTCATAACAGGTATCTCCTTACTTTCTATTGAGCGCTCTGAGAGGTTTGGAAGTGGAGTGCCTGTCCAGCCATATGGGCAAGTGGCGCGTTAGGAAGTACTAGACAAAATATTCTATAGCCTCTGTAAACAGGCACTCATCTTCTATAGTGATGGAATAGAATAAAAAGTATTAATCAAAGATGGGGATTCTTTTGCTTTCTTTTATCTACAATTTAAGTCCCAAAGCTCAAGCTATATACACCTGCCTGGAGCTGCTCTGGTCACCATACTCTGTCCATGTAGGTTGCTGAATGACTTTTCAGGCCCAGAATTTGAGCTGCAGTTGAGAAGCATTTAGTGCTGGTGAATAGTAGGCTGTTATGGGTGGCTTACATCACCTTTCTCCTAGAGCCAGGCAGGTCCCTGACAAGAAATTAGAATATTTTGAGGGTTGCTTTAATCTCTGCCAGCTATTATAGCAGTCAGGGATTGCCAGCATAACCTATGGATTCTTGTCCAAGCCTGGTAAATTAAAGCTAAATAACACCCCAGAACACTGAGAGTGAGGACTGGTGGACATAAACAAACTTTATGGGACCACAGGAAGCTCAGCCACACCCATAAAAAGTGGACATCCAGCTAACTAAAATCATCCCAGATGGATGTTTCCAGATTAGAGAGTTCTGGACTAGAGAGGTTCAACCTGTACAACAAACTTGATCAGCATGATAGGCTGCTAATGTATTCATACCACAGCCTAACTTTTGTCATTTTTTGTGGAAATCACAGAAGAGGTGATTTTTTATTTTTTGCTATTTTTTAACATTTGACAAGTGGGTGATGGAAGTTTGTGCCATTGGCTGATCAGAGGCAGAGGGCAACATTTTGTTAATGAATGAGAAAAGATGAAAAAGGTAAGATAAATTATGAAGACTCTAGAACAGTGGTTCCCAAACTTTTCGGCATCACGCCCCCTTTTTGATTTTTGAGAAACCCTCATGCCCCCCCCAATAGCAGCAAAACTTGTTGAACAAAAAAAAAATTGGCCTTTTAAGAGCAGAGGAGGCATTGCCCTTTTAAGGTGGCCATTTTGAAGTCTGCCCCAGCCAGCTCGACAGACGGACGAACCAGGCTCTTTCTTGGGGAGGATTGACGAGGGGAGGACTGGGTTGCCTCACGCCTCCACTGGAATTTCTGCACGCTCTCCCCCCTCCGGAGGGTGAGCGCACCAGTTTGGGAACTCACTCTAGAAAGTGGAGACAAGCAACTTATGTCTGATGTGATAAGGGAAGTTATGTAGAAAATGACACGCTCAAATAGATAAACTAGGAAAAATAATTTTCCTAAGAAACGTAAAGCTGCCATCTGTAAACTGTCAAAGAAGAATTGCTCAACTTCTGCTCACAATATTCTATTAAGATTTACTATATGGCTACGTCTACACTGGCCCCTTCTTCGGAAGGGGCATGCTAATTTTGAACTTGGGAATAGGGAAATCTGCAGGGGATTTAAATATCCCCCGCGGGATTTAAATAAACATGGCCGCCGCTTTTTTTCCGGCTTGGGGAAAAGCCGGAAAAAAGCGTCTAGACTGGCGCGATCCTCCGGAATAAAGCCCTTTTCCGGAGAATCTCTTATTCCTACTTCAAAGTCCCCCGCAGACTTCCCTATTCCCAAGTTCAAAATTAGCATGCCCCTTCCGAAGAAGGGGCCAGTGTAGATTTAGCCTATCTCTGAGATGGTGTGTGGTCAGCAAGGAGGAAAAAGGTTAGATACCATGCAAAATTTAAAAACGTAAGGAGGAAGCTTTGATTGTGGCTTTGAGGTTGCCGTTTAAATTCTTAACTAATAATTTGTTTTCAGCCTTCAAATATTTAACCTGCTTCAAGTCCTGATTTGACGGCTTGATAAAGTTATTTAGTCGGAGTTTAGAAACAAATGGACAGCTACTTCCTTAGATTCCTTTTTTTGGATTTATAAGGACTAATCTGATTTGACAGATTACAATCATAGAATCATAGGACTGGAAGGGACCTCGAGAGGTCATCGAGTCCAGCCCCCCGCCCTCAAGGCAGGACCATGCTCCGTCTACACCATCCCTGACAGATGTCTATCTAACCTGTTCTTAAATATCTCCAGAGAGGGAGATTCCACCACCTCCCTTGGCAATTTATTCCAATATTTGACCACCCTGACAGTTAGGAATTTTTTCCTAATGTCCAATCTAAACCTCCCTTGCTGCACTTTAAGCCCATTACTCCTTGTCCTGTCCTCAGACACCAAGAGGAACAAATTTTCTCCTTCTTCCTTGTGACACCCTTTTAGATATTTGAAAACCGCTATCATGTCCCCCCTTAATCTTCTTTTTTCCAAACTAAACAAGCCCAGTTCATGAAGCCTGGCTTCATAGGTCATGTTCTCTAGACCTTTCATCATTCTTGTCACTCTTCTCTGTACCCTTTCCAATTTCTCCACATCTTTCTTGAAATGTGGCGCCCAGAACTGGACACAGTACTCCAGCTGAGGCCTAGCTAGTGCAGAGTAGAGCGGCAGAATGACTTCACGAGTTTTGCTTACAACACACCTGTTGATACAACCTAGAATCATATTTGCTTTTTTTACAACAGCATCACACTGTTGACTCATATTCAACTTGTGGTCCACTATGACCCCTAGATCCCTTTCCGCCATGCTCCTTCCTAGACAGTCGCTTCCCATCTTGTATATATGGAACTGATTGTTCCTTCCTAAGTGGAACACTTTGCATTTCTCTTTATTAAACTTCATCCTGTTTACCTCTGACCATTTCTCTAACTTGCTAAGGTCATTTTGAATTATGTCCCTGTCCTCCAAAGAAGTTGCAACCCCACCCAGTTTGGTATCATCTGCAAACTTAATAAGCGTACTCTCTATCCCAATATCTACATCACTGATGAAGATATTGAACAGTATGGGTCCCAAAACAGACCCTTGCAGAACTCCACTTGTTATCCCTTTCCAGCAGGATTTAGCACCGTTAACAACAACTCTCTGAACAACTTTCATATATTGATAACTTGTTGATTTGAACTTGACAAATGTTTTGCTGAATTCTCAGTTTAGCAGTGTTAATTCTGATGGGGCACTTAAAAACCATATGGCTGTGGCTAGACTGCATCTCTTTTCCGTAAAAGGGATGCAATTAGACATATCGCAATTGCAAATGAAGCGGGGATTTAAAGTAAGGAGATTTATCCCTCTTAAAATAAGGGATAAGGGATCTTTCGGAAAAGGCTTTATTTTCCAAAAGATCCGCGTCTAGACTGGCGCTTTTTTCCGGCAAAGCTCCGAGCTTTAAATCCCCGCTTCTTTTGCAATTGTGATATGTCTAATTTGCATCTCTTTTACGGAAAAGGGATGCAGTCTAGACACAGCCCAGGTGAAGAGGACAATGGCATGCTCTCATTTCCTGCAGGTAAGGAGGCTAGACATATTGTCTGCTATATATCTGAGAGAGTTTGTCTCTGTTTGTTCAAGAACTCCTCTTAAATGGCAAGAACTAGGACCAACAAATTGGTGTAAGAATGACCATAATGTGTAAGACCAAAGGTCTATCTAGCCCAGTATCCTGTCTTCCAACAATGGCCAATGCTAGATGCCCCAGAGGGAGAGAACAAAACAGGTAATCATCACATGATCCCTTTCCTGTCATCCATTTCCAGCCTCTGACAAACAGAGGATAGGGATACCATTCCTACCCATCCTGGCTAATAGCCATTGACGGACCTAACCTCCATGAATTTATCTAGTTCTTTTTTTAACCCTATTAAGTCCTGGTCTTCACAACATCCTCTGTCAAGGAATTCCACAGGTTGACTATGCACTGCACAGAGAAAAACTTCCTTTTGTTTGTTTTAAATCTGCTACCTATTAATTTCATTTAGTAACCCCTAGTTCATGTTACAGAAACAAGTAAATAACTTTTCTTTATTCACTTTTTCCACACCATTCATGATTTTATAGACCTCTATTATATCCCCCCTTAGGCTCCTCTTTTCTAGGCTGAAAAGTCTCCCAGTCATTTTAATCTCTCTTCACATGGGACCCGTTCCAAACCTTTAATAATTTTTGTTGCCCTTTTCTGAACCTTTTCTAATGGCAATACATCTTATTTTGAGCTGAGAGGACCACATCTGTACGCAGTATTCAAGATGTATGTGTACCATAGTTTTATAAAGAGGCAATACAATATTCTTTGTTTTATTCTGTCTCTTTGTAATGATTTATGTATACAGATTCCTCTTATTATAACTTAAAGCAAGGAAAGGGTTGTACCAGAAAAATGGGATGTATCTGGGGGTATGTCTACACTACCCCCCTAGTTCGAGCTAGGGGGGTAATGTATGCATACCGAACTTGCTAATGAAGCCCGGGAAATTCAAATCCCGGGCTTCATTAGCATAAAGCCGGCGCCGCCATTTTTAAAAGCCGGCTAGTGCGAACCCCGTGCCGCGCGGCTACACGCGGCATGGACTAGATAGTTCGGATTAGGAAGCTTCCTAATCCGAACTATCTAGTCCGTGCCGCGTGTAGCCGCGCGGCACGGGGTTCGCACTAGCCGGCTTTTAAAAATGGCGGCGCCGGCTTTATGCTAATGAAGCCCGGGAAATTCAAATCCCGGGCTTCATTAGCAAGTTCGGTATGCATACATTACTCCCCTAGTTCGAACTAGGGGAGTAATGTATGCATACCGAACTTGCTAATGAAGCCCGGGAAATTCAAATCCCGGGCTTCATTAGCAAGTTCGGTATGCATACATTACTCCCCTAGTTCGAACTAGGGGGGTAGTGTAGACATACCCTGGAATAGGAATGCTTCTCATAAAACCATATAGAAAGAGATAGAATCAATAGGCATGTCTCTGGAGCTTCTCCCATCCAGGACTGATCCAGTCCTGAGCCTCCCGCTGCCAAATGCCCTTTAGGGAGGATAAAGCTCCTCTCCCTCCCCATTTGTACAGGAACATTTCTGGCTGTTCCCATGTGTTAGGGATCAAGGGAAGAGTGCACAGTTTGCTGCAGTTTTCCCTCTAGCTGGGGGCACACAGACCTGGACATGCCACAGCCAGGGGACATGCACCCCTCCCTCAGCTGTACCCACTACAGCTGAATTGGCCATTGAGAAGTGCTTGTCCCCTGGTGCCAAGCTGCTGCGGTGAGAGAGGGCTGGCATACTGACTCCCTCATCTCCAGCCCCACCCCAGGGAAATTATTTAAATGAAGCATGTATATGTTATTTTATTTTCCAACAAATAAAAATTGAGTTAAGGACCTGAACAATGCCAGGTAAATCTAGTAGCCTATAAAATATGTATCAGAAATAATAACTGTGTACATGCCTTCACTGTTTACAGATGTGCCCATCCTTGCTCCTGGCCCTGTGACTGACATACCCTATAGCCCAACCCCTGCTATAGGGGCTAGAGCAGCTCTCAGCCTGCCACAGGCAGGGGCTACTCCAGTCCTGTGGGGCTCACTGCAGGTGGGGGCTGCTCTGGCCAGAGCAACCCTTGTCCAGGATTATTCTAAGAGGGGTGGGTGAGATTCTGTGGCCTGCACTGTGCAGGGGGTCAGACTAGATGATCATAATGGTCCCTTCTGACCTTAAAGTCCATGAGTCTATGAGTGGAGCAGCCCCCCCTTTTAATCCATTAACTAATTAAACATACTATTTAACCAGTTAGCTGATTAATCGGGGATTTTACATCCCTACCGAGGATGTGGAGATCTGCAAGTCATTTCTGAAAATGCAGCTGCGGATACCAGTTTTGTTTCCACACAGGGCTCCACTAAAAGGGTGCTTGAGCTGGATAAAATGAATGCAAATATAATTCCTATGGAAACAGAACAGCGGGGAATCAGCCTGGAACTGGACAGCTGCCTGCAGGGCACCCCTGGGTTACCCTGTCGAGCTTTTATCTGGCAGCCCCCAGGGAAGAGCCCCTCACAACTCCCGCTGCTCCCCACCGACAGCCACTGTCATGAGCCGGCCGCGCAGGGCGCGGGCGCTGGCAAATATAAGGCAACCGCCGTGTGCGCTGAGCACGCTCCGCCTCACAGCCTGGGCTCTGGCCCACTCCCTGGTTCCAAATAGCGCCTAGCCCTTGCGCCCCTTTGTCTGACACGCCCCCCTTAGTTCCCGCCCTCGGCCGGTGAGGATAGTACTGCACATGCGCGGGGCCTAAAATGCGTTTCTCCCTTTAAATCACTACGCGTGCGCCTCGCCTTGTTAGGCGGCGCGGGCTGGGGTAGGAATCCAGCCGTACTGAGAGCATTGCGCGTGCGCGGCGGAGGGACGCTCCAGGCTTAGTTTTTTTTCCGGCGGCCTTTCATCCGCGCCGTTGCGCCGTGCCGTCACAACGCAAAGCCGCTGTGACGTAGCAAGCGGTGGCCTTACGTAGCTGTCTTTCCTTCTTCCCGTCGCGATCGACATCCGGGTACTTGGGGCTGCGGGAGGCTCTGAGGGGAGGTAGCGGCGGCGGCTTCCTAGCGGAGAGGCCGTGGAGCAGCTCCCCAGCGGGTCAGTACGGAGCGGGGGCGGGGCAATCTGAGGACCCGCTGGGGGCGGGGTGTATATGGCGGCGGATCTGTCCGCCCTGGCTGCTAGGCTGTCGCAGTCGGCCGCCGCCAGGTCCTACGGGGTCTTCTGCAAGGGGCTGACCCGGACCCTCCTCATCTTCTTCGACCTGGCCTGGAAGCTGCGGATCAACTTCCCGTATCTCTACATCGTGGCCTCCATGATGCTCAACGTCAGGCTACAGGTGAATGGGGGGAGGGGGGGGCTGTACTTCGCGCCCCTGCCGCCGGGGGCCTTGTGAGGGGAAGAGACGGCCGCCACCGTGACTCAGCTTGAGTCAGTCACTTGCTAGAGATGCAGACGCTTCCCTCTCAGGTCCCCGGGAAGTGTCCTCAATTTGCAGGAACTGAGGGCAGAGGTGACTGGTGGGGGGAGGAAGGTAGTAGTCACGTGCCCCCCCCAAACCTGGGAAAGGGCATAAACCACCCCTCTCTGACCCTGGACCCACATCATCCTGCCCTTGCTCTGCCCTCAGCCTGCCTTTTCCCAGGCTGCCCAGGAACTAGCGGACCTAGTGTCCAATGCTGGCATTTCAAGTCCAAGCTGCTCCACACACTTACCAGCAGGAGAGGAAAGTGGAGTAGGGTGGCCCCAGCTCACTTTGCTCCTCTACCCACGCGGCTCTGCTTCCTACAGGGGAGTGTTGGGGCAGTCCTGCCCCTTCCCCTAGTGAAGTGGCTGTGAAAGCAGAATGAGCTGGGGCCATCTTGCTCCGCTTCTGCTGGTGAGTGTGGGGGACTACACCCAGACATGGACACACCCTGCTAGCATAGTTCCATCTAAGGGACACACCTGTGCACAAACTATTCTACACCTGCCCACCTCCTTTGCAGATATTAAATGCGGTGTTTGCAGGGGGCCAGCTGGTAGGGGGCTGCTGCAGTCCCCAGGGGTTTACCATTCACATCTCTACTTTTGCACAGCCTCTCACTCATCTGCACACCAAGGGTATGTCTAGACTACAGGCTTTTGTCAACAGAGGCTTTGTCGACAGATACTATCGACAAAGCTTCTGTCCACAAAGAGTGTCTAGACTACATCCAGTTCTGTCGACAAAGCAAGCCGCTTTGTCGACATGAGAGTCGAGACGCAAAGGACAGTGTAGATGCAATAACGCCTTCTGTTGACAGAACTCTGACAAAAGGCATTATTCCTCGTAGAATGAGGTTTACCACTGTTAACATCGACAGAACTCATTAGTTTTGTCATGTCGACAGAACTTAGCGGTAGTGTAGATGCAGGGATAGTTTTGTCGACAAAAGTCCACTTTTGTCAACAAAATTCTGTTGTCTAGACACACACCCCATTTGAGCAAAATAAGGATGAAATTTCTAAGTCTAGCAAATGGGATGGACCAGAGTATTGACAGCTTGAATCTGGAGATTTTCTCTTCTTGTGCCTGTCTGTGCTGCAACTCTAGATTTGTAACCAGTTAGTGACATATCTGGATACAAGACATGTTTAGCTTGTCTCACAGTATTCAGTTAATAACCATGGCAGTTAACTATTTCCCCTTCGTCTACTGCCTATGTTGGCAGATGGTGGTCATCTTGTAGCAGGATCAGCAACCTGTTTTATTGCAATATACATTGTAACCCTAATCATGCTTGTGCAATCATTTTGCCTGGTGATCCTTTGAACTGTGCATGTTGTTCCACATCCTGTTTGTATGCCAGTGTGTGAATGTTCTCCAGACATTCAGCCCACTTATAGGTGCCCAGCTTTATTGCTGTGTGCCCTCATACAAAGTTAGTGAGCACAGAAGGTTGCATGTACAAACATGAAAAAATGAAGCATTATTAATACAACTTTGACATAATAATTGAGACTTTACCTCTGATTATAGTGTCAATGTTTAATTATTAAAGGTAAAGATACTTAAAACTGTGTTCTGCTGCTAAGTCTCTACAGTATGCAAGGGTACATCTACACTGTGGGCTAAAGCCAAGTTAGGATGTGCAACTTCAGCTATGTTAATTGTGTAGCTGAAGTTGCAGTATCTTAACTCAGCTTTTGGCACTGATTGCACAGCAGGAAGGCGAAGGAAGAACACTCTTCCTTTGACTTCCCTTACCCCTCATGGAATGAGGGTTACAGAAGTGAAAGTAACAAGCCCGTTATTTTGACATTATTGCTGTGTAGAAATAAGCATGCAATGTAGACATAGCCTCAGTGATCAATCTTTTAATTTAAAACTGTATTGTTAGGTAATTTTCAGGCTTCTCATTCACTGAGTCACCTTTGATATTTTCTGCCACCTAGAAAAGATAAGCTCTAATTCATTGAATTTAAACAGCAAAAGAGGAGACGCCAGCATTAAATGTGCAGCACAATATAGGGATACTTGCTATTGGAGCCCATACTCTTAAATATTGCGTATAGAAACAAACTGTTAAAATTAATAGTATCAGTATCCACTTCCACAGTATAGGATAAATCTTCTTGAATTTATTCAAGGAAAAGAGTTAGTAGTTTTGTAAAAAGGCCCTTCGGGTTCCTCCACTATGTTCTGCTCTTGAGATCCTTTTTTCCCCATAATATGGAGATCCCTAATTAATATCTGGTAACATTGATAAAGTAGTTTGAATCCAATGAAAAGGTGTATCTCTTTCTCTCTTTGAGAGGCAATTGAAGGAGGAGGAGACTGATCATAAGTTAATTTCCTGTATTCTTTTTCAGGTTCATATTGAAATCCACTGACTTGAGACTTGCTGTGCTTATTGTACTCTCTGCTGCAACTAGGGTTATTAGGTAATGTTTTTTTAGCAAAATGCGAAGTTTGAAGGACAGAAGAGCTATGATTGTCTCCCATATGACTGTGGAGGAGGAGGAAGATTTAAACCATGAACAGTTATGTGAAAGTGGCCCAAATAGCCAAAACAAGGTCTTTCACCTTCCAGACATACATTCCTTGCTGAATGATTCTCAGGTTGATGTTAATAATAGCTTACAAAAAGAATTCTTCTCTCTTAAGATCAGGAATTGTTCTTTATTTAAGGCTGTACCTTTGCCTCATATTGGCAAGAAAATGCCCCCTCATTTGAGTGAACCAGCAAGGTTAAATTTAAGTGCAGCTGTCTCTTCAAAGGATTCATATCATCTGTTTGTTTCACCTGAGAGAGGACAACTTGATAAGATTTTTAACCACTTTGATAATACTTTTGTGACAGGTTGGCTGGAGAAAGCATATAGTTCCATTAGTGACTTGGGTGTCTGGTGTTGCACTGGAGATAACTTTGTACACTTTGCACATTTCTGGCTGACAGAGCTACATGACAATCAGAAACGGCAGCTGTTGGAATTAGAAATGGATATTATTGAAGATGAACTGCAACTTGCATTTCTTGAGTTGGATTCTGAGTTGCAACCTTCTGATCTGAATTCCATCCTTGCTGCCACATTGAGTGAATATCCTATGGAACTGTTGAGCAACCAGAAATCGTACATTTTCCTTGACTATTTAAGCCTCATGTCGTCAGAGAAAACCAGTGGATATAAAAAAATGCTTTCAAGTATAAAATATACAACAAATAATCCTCAGGTTACACAATGGCTACTAGCTGTACGAGCTTGTGCACTAGCAAATCTTTGGCATGCTGTAGTGAAGGTAAAAGCAAAATAATGCTGACATTTCAATGGTGTTTTTAATATTAAAGTATCTGGTTAAATCAAACAGTGATGAGACAAAGTTAGAGTTCAGGTTTTAGTGAGAGCTATGCAACTAAAATGAAATGGCTCTTGTAGTTATTAGTAAAAAGTTCTCTTGTGTAGTATCAGGAGATTTTAATTTGACTTATTTAGGATTCGTACAAATGAATTTCTTACATTAATTCTTTACTGGAACAAAGTCTTTGAATTTAATTGTATAGAACTGATCTTTAAGGGTCTGGGCTTTTGGCTGGTGTTCATAGTCCCCTATTGGAAAGTTCTTGCCTGTAGAATTCAGTCCTATCTTGGTACAGTGTTTTTTTTTTATTTATTTTTTTTAAACCTGTGATTCCTAAAGCTTTGTCAATTACAATGTGTTTTAATTGGAACAGCTGAGAGATTCTGAAGGTGAGAACTAAGGACGTCCTGTAGAGGACATCTTTCCAAACAGTTCTTTTTTAGAGCAATGGTTATGGTGGTGTGGTTTTTTTTTTGTTTTTTTGTTTTAAAGAGATCTTAAATTAAACTTACTGATGTCCTGTAGACAAAGGCCTAACAATGATTCCCTTTATAAATAAGTGTATTTGCAGAGCGTTATCCTTTCTTTCAAAAAACCCCAACTCTTAATTATGACTGAACCTACTGGAAATTTGTAGCCCACTCCTGAGTGAGGACAGGAAGGTGATCTGCCCAGACAATTAAGGTAGACCTATGCAAAGGTGACAACTCATTTTTTACATTCCTCTAATCCAGTTGCAATTCTGTAGAGACTTGGTCCGAAAGCATCTTGAGAGCAGCTGTATGGTAGCTGCAAACAGTCCAGTAGAGACCAAAATGGGGCTAGTAATATGCAGTACATAGGGCCACAGCCCCTTTTCCTTGCTGTTCTGGCTCACTGGCGTACAAACCTTTACACTGCCTCTGAAACACAGAACATCGTTATCCTGAGATGATCCTTCCTGAGCCAGTTAAAACTATCTTGTGGACAAACTTACGCCAGCATTTCTCTGCAAATTAGCCACATTGCATTTGAGAATTTGGACCTCAGGAACAGATTCCATAAACCCTTATTCACATGAATAGTCCTATTGACTTCAGTACTCCAGTTAGTTATGATTTACAAATATTTGAAAATAACTCACACATTTGTTAGGCTTCTTGGAGTACAGAAAACAAAAGTTTCTGTGTTTTTTAGAGGTGGCCTTTTATTTGGTTTGAGACCAAAATATGGTTTGAATTATATGTCTTTCAATAGACAAAAGAGATTAAAACTTTTAAACATTTTAGACAATTTTTTCACATGCACTTTAAATCTATATATGTGGTGTTGACTTGTAGATCACATGTGTGCCAGCTACATTATCAGCAGAAATGTCAGAGTAGTAATAAATTATAGATGGTAAACAGCTGTGAGGGAGCTGTTGCTGTCTTGGGCAAAAATTAGACTTTGTCCCCTAGACTCTATTGAAACCGTTACATGTTATATAACTCATGTCCACTTGTAGTATTCAGTAAAAACTCACAGTTCTGCAAGATGAGAATACACAGTCAATAACATTAGAAATGTGACAATTCTCTAATATCAAATACTGCATTAAATTATTAGAAGCTACTGATCTCTTATGGAAAAAGATGAAAATTGCTACCTTATTTATTCTCTCTGCTACTTTTTTGAAGCAGGTGGTATAAGATTTTCTTATTTTCAAAGATAGGGATACAGGGAAAGAATGAGGATCTCTTTTCCTATACAGCAAGTGTTTCAAACATTGGTCTACATTTTTTTTTTTTACACTTTCAGTTTTGCACCTGCATTTATTGTTGCATGCAGATCTAAGAACAAAGTACTTGTTTGTACAAAAATTGTACCTCCAATTATTTATGCTTGTATGGCCAGGCTGAGCATTTTGACCCTTAGGTTATCTTCTCCTGTTGCATGTTTCTTTCTTAATCATTCCTCTTTTGGTAACATCAGTTGCTTTTAGAGAGAATTTTGATGTACGCAAAATGTCCAGCAAAAAGGAGGAGCAAACGAAGGTGTAGGAAATATTTTTCCTTCCACTACTTTTTAACAGAAAGACAAACATAGCAAAACCAGCCTGACTATTATGTTTTTATATAAGCCTATTCTAGGATGCAGAGGCCTTCCTTTTTAATGTTGTAAACAAGTTGTTCTATGGAGGGATTCTGGTCTAATGAATATTTTATACTACAGACCTAATCGTATACAATAGTCTTATCATGGTAAAACATCTGTTAACTTCCCTAGATCATGGCTGAAAGCCATGAATTATGGGATCAGTTGAAATAAGTCTGCAGTACAGATTGGACCTCCCTGGTCCAGTACCCTCAGGACCTAACTCCTCCTGGATGAGGGATTTTTTCAGGACATGGGGTAGGTCATTTCAGGGGCAGTTCCCCATGCCCTCTCCCTGTTTCTTGGCTTTCTTGGCAGCCCAGCTGATCCGTGTGCATGCTCCCAGCCCCTCTGCAGCCCAGCTGAGCCGTGCACTGGCTCCCGCCCCCTTTGCAGCCTAGCTGAGCCACACCAGCTCCTGGGTCCCCACCCTCTGCAGCATGGCAGGACTCACTGGTCTTGGAACATCTGTGGTCATGTCAGACCACGGATGTTACCAGACCAGAAAATCCTGGATTTTGGAGGTGCAACCTGGAATTGGATAGAGAAAAGTGATTTGATTGTAGTTTTTCTCCTGAATGTGATCTTTTAACATTAAAGAGTCTCAATTTTGAGTAGATTTCAGTCTTAATAATTTAACATGCCTTGAATGTTATTGTTGAATATCTGAAAGATAACTTAAACATTCCATCTGAAACTGAAATCAAAAGATGTTTTACTGTAGTAGTGTTTAACATGCCAGACACTGCACTTCACGGTTGGAGAAACATAAATTGAAAGCAGTATTCTTACACTACTAGAATCTGGCAGGGACAACAACTCAGAAATGTCAGTGCCTTCCCCCTGGGAGGGATAATTGTAAACCAAAGGATAAGTAGTCTTTCATAGATGTGTAATATTTATACACATGTCTGCTGCATACAGTTGTGTACGTTAATTTTTGTCCATTATATCTAGTATGGTCTCATCTCGAGGGAAAATGTCTGGATTAAAAGCATTGATTTGGTTTTCAGGGAGTTTCATGGCCCCCCAGTAAGTCCAGTGTTAGAATCCATTTTCACAGTAAATGCTTCTCTAGGGTTGAGGGTATCCTAAGAAATCTGTTTTTGTAGGAAAGAGTATATTTAATAGAGCGGATAATTTTGAAACACCAGAAGATGACTCTTTAGACTTCCAATTTTTTGCTTGCAGTGTTGTTGGTGTCAGTCAGAAGTATTTAAAACAGCAAAGTAAAATATAAGACCGGTCACTAAACAACTTAATGCTTTTAAAATTCAGTTTTATAAGGCATTGGTCAGTACCAGGCTCCTTCCTGAAGTACATATCAAGAGTTCTGTTTCTGCTACTACAAAGCAAACAAATGAAGTGGTTAAAGAAAGGTAAGAAAATAAAAAATATAGTATTAAGAGAATTCTTAGTAACTTTTTATAAACATGTTTCTTGATTGAAGGTGAATTCAAGTAAATACTGCACTGCTGTTTTGAACGATCACTTTGTTTAAAACAAATATTGAATAATGTCTTGAGCCTTTTATATGTGCCTGCACAGAGCCTTTATGTATATAGGCAAAACAGCAGTGTGTTTGCTTTTGTAAACTGTCTTGTCTCTTTAGTGTTAACAGTTTCTACTGCTTTTTTTTTAAAGTTTGTTTCATGGCTAATAGGTACTGGTATTCATGTAAATTACATGTACACTTCACAAGGAAACTTTATGGGCCCACGCAAGGAATACCTGCCACTTATTTTGGAAGTGCTTGTTGTGGATTATTTTTGAGGAACATTAAGTGCTTCAGTATCTGAACGTTTTATGTTGTGCGCTGGGAAAAAATGTGGATTTTATTCATAGAACCAGGTCCTTACGCATTCTCATTCTTTTACCAGTTTAGGAGAGAAAATGTTTGTCCTAAATGCATCCCTCCTGCCCACATCATTGCCCTCTTCTATTTTGATAGGCTGCTCTGTATCTGATTATCATAACAGGTTTTGACAGTGATTTGGGTGATTTGCCTTGAGAGTTTGTTTGCCTAGTAGAATGATCAGAGTTAGCACCTCGGTGGTAAGCCTAATTCATTTGCTTTTTTTTTTTTCTTTAAACCAGCTGCTTTGAAAAAAACATTAAACTGGCAGTCCAAATCTCCATTTTTTTTATTCTTTTGATTGTGAATTGCAGTCTTATTTACATTTTCAGATATGTGTGGCATGAAATCTATCAAGGCCTGCAGCTAGTAACCAAACTAATGTATGCTGTTTGTGTTTCTTGGAAAGATACTCTGTTATGAGTTTGAGTTATATTGAACTGTCTGAATAAACCTGATTTTTGGGAGGGGGAAGATGTTATGGTTTTGACTTGATTTTTTTTTTAAGAATACTTGAAAGATGATGAAGCCTTTAGATAAAGTAACTAACAAGTTCTACTTAGTCATCTTTAATCTCTCAAAATTAGGCTAAAAATCTATCATTTTCATAAATTAATATCTGAGCTCCCCAGAAATGATTCATAGATCCACTTATGAAAATTCAGAGGGTGTTTTATGGCCCATTCATATTTACTGTACATTTTTTCATTAAAGACAGGTGGCTACTCACATACTTTTTTGCCACTCAATAATAAAAATGATATCCTGAAAGTGATTGAACATCATGTTCTTAATTTCAGTCCTTCATTTCTTTTTGGTTGATTTTTAGATTTCTTGTACAACCAAAACCCCCATTGACATCATGAGAGTTTTGGGAGACCACAGGATGCAATATTAAGGCCTAGGTTCAGCTGTTCAGTAAAGTAACACTGTTAATGTGAAGCCTATTCCATTTCAAAAAGGATTTTTTTTAATCTAAGGGACTTTCAGAAATGGTATTAGTGACTGCCCTTTTTGTTTTTTTTGTTTATTTTAAAAAGTCATCTTTCTCTGTTGGTGTGCACACATAAGGAAAGTGACTCATATTGAAACAACTTTGTTCTCTAATCTTTGATTATAGTCATCTTGAGTATTTATCACCTACTACCAGAGATGAAAATTTTAACAAGCAATTTTTAAAGTTGACTGTCTCATTAAAATCATCTTTCAAGATTAGCTAGTGCCCGATCTTCACCACTGAAGTCAGTGGTAATTTTGCCACTGGCTTCAGTAATACAGAATCCCTCTTCTACCGGTGGGTAACAATTTAGTATTCAATGCTTATATTCATAGTAATGTGAATTATCTTGGTTGTAAATACTAACTTTATTATAGGTGTTTGCACACAGAACAGCTATTCTTATTTTGATCATTCTTTAAAATTCTTACTGCAACATAACAACTGAGAGGGGCTCCTAGAGTGTGCCAGCCCAAAAGGACTGTAACTGGTATGCCACATTTAGATACATTTGGTAAAAGGAAAGATGTTTACAGCAACTTTGTCTTTGAAACTCTTCTCTTTAGTACAGAGGTGGGGAATCTTTTTTTGGATCGGGGGCTGCTGACCCACAGAAAAAATCAGTCAGGGACCGCACACAAACTGTCACTGATGTGGTCCCGGTGACCTGAGGAGAAAGATGCTCCTCACATTCCCCTTGTACACCACAGTTTGGGGGGCCCAGCATAGTAGATTGTGTGCTCCAATCCTGTGGTGTGGTGGCAGGGGGGCTGGAGGTCCAAAATGGGCTCCCCAAAGTTTGGGGAGGGAGTCCTGAGCCTCTGGGGGCCAGATCCAGGCAAGGCAGGGGTCGCATCTGGCCACCAGGCCTTAGGTTCTCCACCCATGCTTTCGTACTTTAATTCATGAGCAAGTAGTTTAACTTGAAATGTTGCTGTTCTGAGTGAAAACAGACTTTTTAATATAGCACTATATAAATTTCCAGAAGCTGATGAATTATGATGCTGCTTACTTACACCACAGGAGGGAGTTAAACATCAAGATTTTGACTTTTACTTACCTTACTGCAAATAGTTTTCCAGTATGGTGTTTCAGTATCCAATTCTGTTCTCAAATATGCTGAATTTAACTTACTCCTATGGATTGTTACTGCAATTTTGTGTAAAAATGTATAAAGGCCAATACACAATAGTAACTTATTGTAATTGTTTACAGTGGAACTCTAAATGCCAATGAATGGTTTTATCAAACTGTTTAAAAATAAATGTGTTTTTGAAAAATAAATTGCTTGTTTTCTTGTTTTATGGCTTTATAAACTGCAGTGTAAGAGACTAATTGAAGGTAAGAATGTTAAATATCAACTAATTTAATAATCAATGAATTTTGCTTAGACTAGTCAGTAGGGCACCTCCACTTCTAGGCTGTTGCTACACTTCAAAGGTGAAAGCGCTGCGTGGAGCCTGGGGTCAGCTGGGGACTCTCCCGCTGAGCCCGGGGTCCGAGTGGCGCTGCCATTTTGAAATGCTGCGAGGAACCTGATGCTGGGCTCCCCGTGGTGTTTCAAAGCAGCGGCACTGCACAGAGTGCAGCAGGAGAGTCCCCCACTGATCCCGGGCTCCAGGTGGCGCTGCCACTTTGAAAAACTGCATCCAGCCTGGGGATACCTCAGCTGGCCCCCGGGCTGCTCGCAGCATTTTAAAGCGGCAGAGCTGCGTGGAGCCCAGGGTTGCTGCTTTGAAGTACCCCCTCCTCTTCTTACCCCCTGCCCCCCACTGCCTCTTTCTGATAGAGGCAGCAAGGGGGGGGGGGAAGAAGCGACTAGTCGACTATCTGATAAGCAAATGCTTGTCAGACCTTCAATTAGGGATGTGAAGGACTAAGCTAGTCAGTTACCATGGTACTTAATATTCTTAGAAAACACAAATCATCTCAGACACTAGTATAGAAATAACAGAAGATGCTGCTTTTCTTTCAACTTTAAAGTGATGAGGAAATCTCAAATAGTCCTTCCGCAAAGAGGATAGTATAGGAAGAGGGAAGAATTCGCAGTATGTTGAGGTATAAAGATACTGTCTTGAACATGCAAACCAGTTTGTAAAACACTGCTTCTCTTACCATACAAGTTAGTTTCTTTAAGAGATGGAATCCAACCCAGAACTTACACAACAGATTTTTCTGAGTTCCTAATTCTGCAAATATTCTCATTCATACATTCCTTAATCATAGCTGATAAGCAGTTGCAATATACTAATGATTATCCAGATTCAGGATATTTCCCATCCACCTGACTAGGTTTTAATTTGCATTATCTTTACGTAATACCTAGGTTAAAAAAAGGTAGCATGTATGAAATTGCATGTTAGGGCTAGAAGGTGAATCATTGCATTGGAACATGACTCTTAATCACATCCTACTCATAAGAGCACATACTGTACCATGGGAGTGGCTTGTCTAATTGGGAAACTACAAAGGCAGAAACAGGAGAGCTTCCTTGTTATTTGGAATAATACGTAGAGGCCAAAATTAGTTTCCCTCAATCCATGTGCATGAGTTTAGATGAAAGAAGTAGGAATTCTGCATGAGGAATGAGCAAATGTCTTCTTTCTTCTGACCTTAACAGAGCTGCAGTCAGGATTTACAGGTATTAGGGTCATTGGGAGCCCTACTTCTATAAACTGATCTCTCCTAAGGGTAGCTGCCACATGTAATAGGCTGGGGTCCTCCTGCTCTTTCTGTCAGTGGTCTCTTAAATTCTTTTTAAAGATCAAGATCAATTTCTCATGACTCTGAAAGGAACAGAAGCGCTGCACAACTCTTAAGGGAAACTTTCCTTCAGAGGTGAGGCTTTGGGGGCTATAGAAGAGGCCCTATTGGCCTGTCAGGTGCTGGCTCTTAAAGGAGGAAACCCTGACATTAAGGATCTCCTGTATGTGCATATAGGGAAGGTATGCTCTGAGCCTCTTTGCTTTTCCTCATGTGCCTCTTCTGTATTCCCCAAACTACTTACCACTTAATTTCTTGACTTTAATTTCTATTCCTCTTGCTGAATGTCTTCGGAATCAAGATTATTTTGAAGATTTATTTACTTTAACATTTTTTCCCTCCCTCTCCATCTTTTCCTCAATTTTACACAATTTTTGTTGTAACATTTATATTAGTTCAAGATCATGACTTCAACATCATGTGGAAATGGAAAGCCATAACCACAGCTAATTGACAAAGCCACTCAAAAGTCATCATCAAAATTATTGCTAAGTTACACGGGTTGACTCAATATGAAGGTATTTCATTCTCTGCTTTGGTGAGGAATATCATCTGTTGCATGTTGGACGATACTATGGGTAAAATGTTGCTGCTGTTTTATGTGCTATATTTATTCTGTAGAAAAATGGAACTCTGGTCTAACGGTTATTGGGCGGGCATCTTCAACACATATACAATATCCTTTTTTAAAAAATGGATATCAAGTGAAGGAGAACCTCTTGGAACGCAGCAGAAAAGAAAAGGAAAAAAATGAATAGAGAAAT